CATTCGCCGGGCCGTGCGTGCCTGTCCTCGCTGCGGATCTTGGACGATTCGGCGCACCGAGTGAGTGAGTGAGTACTACTACTACTACTACTACTACTACTACTACTACTACTACTACTACCGCTGCTGGCACAACTACTGCTAGTATGAATATAAAAGATAAAGATACTATGGAGGCAGTGCGAACTTGTGCTGTGCCAAGAGCCCTCAAGCCTTCATGTCCGCCAGGGTGGTGTCGCGGGGAAGCAACACCTTGGGACCGAGCGCGGCCAAAGCAGAAAGGCATACTTACGCCGACCCGGACTGTGGCGCGGGTTCCCGTATCCATGGCTGGTTGACCGAAGCTCTGTCGCAAAAACCATGGTGGGAAGAATCCCTGGGCGCCTGGCGCAGCAGACCTGCTCTCCGGCAATGGACAGCACCTCAGTGCATCTAGCAGCAATCCTCGCGCTGATCTGCATGCAGACATGTGTGCATGGCTTGAGGCAGTTTGGAGCCCGCCCCTCGCCGCCGCATTGACTTGACACCTGGATTGCCTGGCGCCCTTTCGAAGCTTTGAACCAGGCACCGAAACCGTGACATCCTCCGTGGAGTCTTGTGAACCACTGGAGGCTGCAGCTGTCTCCATGGCGGCATGGCAGGCTGCTGCGTTCAGGCGCAGAGCAACCGAGGGAGAAGGTTTCAGGAGATCAGGCTCAGCAGGATTCATGCTACTGCTACAGCCCCTGGGTGCGAGCAAGGCTTGCAACGCCTCATGGAGTTGGAATCAGACTGGAGGGTTCTCTTGGGTCTCAGCTTCAGTCGGGTCCTCGGGCTTGTTCATGCCATGCAAGTGCTCGGGTCTGGAGGTGCTTCTGCTGTGCCCTTGCTGCAGTCCAGGGCTCCGAAGCTTGAAAAGCAGGCTCTGTCTCCTTATCATTCTACCGAGGGACATCCTCAAAGCTTCAGATTGAGCCTGGCGTGTTTCAAAAGCCCCAAGCACGAAGGCTGTGATGGCCCATGCCCCCTTGGCTTGCTTCCTCTTCACTGCTCCGCCGGGCTTGGCTGCAGATGAGAAGGGGGGAGTGCCCGTCAAAGATCATTAATTTTGGGTTATGGTCGGCACCCAGGACCGCTGCTGAAGCAGTTGAAAACAAAAGACTCACCACGCTAGCTTTCGTGATTGCTTGAGAATTGCTCGTCGCAGTGACTCCCGGATGCACGGAGCCAACAATCGGACTCACTTCCAAGCCGAAACCCTTTGTTTATTCATCAGGACTTGTGCAATCCTCCGAAACCCTAACCCATAAATCCCCGATATCTCCGAAACAAAGCAAGGCAGGAAGGCATGCCGGCGCCGGCCATAGGCCCCTCCTCAGCTTTCAGAGGCCGGGCCTGGCCTTCGGCCTTCCTCTGAGGGTTCTGTTGTAATAGGTTCTGGTATACTATGGCAGGTTGAGCATATCTTATGGCATATTGCGGTATATTCATGGCAGATTGGAAATTAAATATGATGGCGTATTGGAGTGTATTATGGCATATTATGGTATGTTAGCATGCACCCACACATCTAGGTATCTTGGCAGTTGAGGCCCAAGCAAAAGCATGTCCAGAGCTCTGCCGGCCTAAGCTGCCGCTGAGCTTCCGGCATGGGCGAGCAAAGCACCCAATCTCCATGGGCTAGGCGGCTAGGGGCTTAGTATGGCTGCAATAAGGGCTCAGTATGGCCATAATAAGGGCTTAATATGGCTATAATAAGGGCTTAATATTGCCATAATAAGGGCTAGACTCACCGACTCAGGGTGTTTTTTTAAGAACTTCGGGTTTGAGACCTGTGGGCTCATCAACGCCTCGGGCAAGCTAAGAGGGTACCTTCCGCTTGCAGCAAAGACCGCAAGCTTTGAGAGAGATGGCTCTCATGAAACGCCGGCCTGTCAAGAAACTATAAACTGGAAGTTCAGGATGCATTATGGCATAGGCATGACACGGTCGTAGAACAACTCGGTACTATGATGCTACTAGAACCAAAGAGCACATATTGAGATGACTTGGTGAGACTATGCCATACCACAAGGTAGCAAAGCCGGAAGACCGAAGGATGATGGGATAGGATCATTTCGAGGAACAAGGCGGCGATTAACAACGCTGACCTGACAACAAAACAAGAAGTGGTATCTTTAGCAAGGCAACCAGTAAGACCGAAGAACGTAAAAGGGCAAAGAGCACCACCATGCTTACTCAAGCTGTAGAGGTTGTTCCACTGTCTCCGCCTGCTCTCGTCATCGTTCCTGCCCCTCCCGTCGCAGCATGCATGGCTCATGGAGCACTCGGATCCGGGCTCGTCTAGCTGACGATCCTGCATCTTGACCAGCATGCGATTGAGGTGGGTCAGGGACACCTGACCAAAGCTTCCGGCATGCGAAAAGTTCGCAGAAGAGTTGGTCCGTCCGACTGGGGTCCGCGCATTGATGGCAGTCCCGTTGGGGCCTCGGCTCTGCCAGAGATGGGCATGCCAGCGCTATCTTCCAGGTTTGGGGCATGTCGAGCTTGGGAGCCTGAATGACTGTACCCGTGTTTGGGGTTCAGGTGGAGCCAGGCCCTGACCCCGATCCCCTCACACGCGCTCGACGACCGGAGTCCGGAACCTTGGCTTCCTTCAAAGGCTGCGGCTGGTGCTGTCGCGCTCGTTCCCGGCCAGGTCCACCAAGGTCAAGCCTTCGAAGACTATGGGGCTTGGAAGGGTTGAGATTCGGGTTGCGCTGCAGTGCTTTGAGGTGCCGCCTGGACTGCAGGGAAAGGCTAAGAACTGATGCAAGAAATGGTTGGTAGAATCTTCGAGGAAGCCGTTTCGGTAATGTAGAACCATCTGTCACCAAACCAACTAATTGGAGGAAAGCCTAGCCGGAGCGCGCAGAGAATTGCAGCAGGTATGTGTCACAGCAACACGTGCCTCCAACTACACCGTCGGCAAGCCGCCCATTTGGTGCACTCAGGGTTTTCACCTCAGGCGAGACTGTGGTGTCGGGTCTGAGCCACGAGTACCACTGACTGTCCATACCATTCATTGAAATCTTTAGAAAACTTTATATCTGTATCTACAATGAGTTCTACACCTATATAATCGGAGGCCGCAGTCTCGACTCCTTGCGAGCAATTCCCTGACAGAAACATCTAGAATCATCTGGCCCCTACCGTTTTTCTCTGCATGGGCGCAGACTGCGAAACACAGAACGTGCAGAGCAAGGTCAGCACTTTGGTATGCTTCAGGGGAGGCGGCCGACAGCAAGGCGGCCGACAGCAAGCCGGCTTAAAACGCATCGGGGAATCGCTGCTGGATAATTGCTTGTGTGACTGCTGTCAAGACGTGTCCATACATGTGTATATGGATACATGTGTATGTATGTATATATATATATATAAACATATATATATATATATATATTTATTTATTTATTTATTTAATTAATTAATTATATTTATATTTATTTATTTATTCATCTATTTATGTATATATTGATTTATTTATGTATGTATTTATGTGTATATATATATATACATGTATATATGTGCCGCCCTAACGGAGAACGGTGCTCTTCATCCGCTTTGCATTCGTACACCTTGCATTGGTTCGGTGCACCGACGGATCAAAGCGCGTATGTTCTGGCCTGTGGTGTCGGGTGCGTGTGGCCCCACAACAGCGGCAGCCGTTAAAATCATCTGCGTATCAAGAGCTCCCCAAAAGATGAGGCCGTAGCCAGGAATCGGACCACCATGTGCGATCGCCTCAGCGTGGTGAATTCCCAGGACCTTCTGCTCAGACCGACCGCCTTCCCCGAGATGGCCCAGCACGCCACCGCATGCCTGCCTTTAAGGATCTTGGTGTTCAGCCAATGGAACCCTGTACTGCGACTAGGATATCTGACTTTAAGTCGAAGCAAAGCCCATAAGTCTTGGAGCTTGGGCCCCTCGCGAGCTTTCGGAATTCACGTGAGAGCCTCGGAGTGGAGGTGGGAAACGCACTGGGCCGGACACTTTCCAGGTGCATGGCACGGTGGCAAAGGTAGCGAAGATGCGGATGCCCGAAACCGAGGCAGCTGTCTTGCCCCGACAAGCCCAACCCTTCTCTTGGGTCCCTGCTCCCCACCTCTCGGCTGGCAATGGCTTTCTGCAAGAGGGCCATGGTCTGACAGCCGGAAATCTCTGATTGCGACTCTTCGTATTCTGACTTCAGCCCAGAGCCTTTCGGCCTTCTGACCTCGGGTCTTCCGCAGTCCTTAAGCCTCAATCCGTTTAGTTTGCATCCTCCTGGGCAAAAGGCTTTCAAATCACGGGTGAGGAGGAAGCGCACTCACCAGTCCGCTCTTGACCAATCCCCCCCTTACACAGTCCAGCCTCGTCGTAGCTCCACACCTCAGTTCAGATGTGGGCTGAGGCTCGTGCACCTCGTGCCAAATGGTTATGATGTGATAATTCGAGAGGTCGGAAGTCTCAGGCATTCATTTGAGGCGGGCTGCGATTCAAGGACGCAAAATGCTCAGTTTCCAGGCTTGTACTGCTCTATGTGACGATATAACTCCTTGGGAAGCTAATACTTAGTTCTTTTCCTCTCTGCACACTAACAATCCATCCTTAACCTTGCACTGTCATGTGGGAGCATAGCCATCCGACAAGCAGCAAACGCAGAAATCCCAAACCCTGAGCATGCTTATTCCAGCATCGACGCCACACAGCGAACAAACACCTGTGGGAACTGTGGTGGGAGCACAACTTCGGCAGGTCGATTCACCTCCGCCGTTTGACCGCGATTTCGGGAGGCCCCGGGGCCGAGGCAGTGAGTCGTCGGTAGGCATGGCGCTTGCCTGCGGCATAGGCCAAGAGCTGGCGCTTTCGGCTTGAGAGCGTTTGGGGTTTCGGGGCGAGGCATATGTCTAATCGCGGAGCTTGGGGACCCTGTGCCTGTTCAGGGTGCTAAGGCGAGGGGCCCGGGGACTGCCTTCAAATGGCACAGAATGCCTAGTGACCTACTATGCCGTCACGGAAAGTCCGTGGAATCGGCTATCCCACATCCAAAAAATTGCTTCTGCAAGAGGTGCATCCCGACGAGCCTTTGTGGCAGATGACATCTATATCCTGGCAAATTCGGGCCACAAGACACTTCTTCGTGCTACAGACAGGTCAAAACTTTATAGCACAGAGACTTGATTTTTCGACAGAACTCGACCGTGATCGGTCTGAACATCTTGCAGATGCCGGATCTGTGGGTTTCAGTGCCAAGGCTTCAGTGCCAAAGCTGCTGGCAAAGGCTGGATCCAAACCTTCGTATCCCTCAACTCAAGAAACTGAAGGCTCCAGATATTGAGAATAAGCACCCGGTCATACAGAAGCCCCTCTTCTTGTCGGAGTGAATGTGCGGAGCCAGGCCAAACCAAGCTCGAAGTCTAATGTTACAAATGTTTTTGCTGAAGAGCTTCGGCATTCGTCATAGCACCTTTTTGCCCAGTACCTATAACCTGCTATCTGTTGTCGTTCAGACGCCGTCTGATGTTGTTGGGTTCCTTCATGATGTATTGATTCTGTTGGTCTCAGGTCAAGTACCTTGTTTCAGACTTCGCTGCGCCACGCTTCTTAGCACGGCTGAGAGTCGAAACCCTCCTTGTCCCAGCCTGGCTGGCGGGCGGCACTTGCGGATCCTCGGCAAGCTGCTGCTTCAGCGGACAAAAATACTAATGTGCGGCGACCGCAAAGACATACTATAGCATCCGAGCCTTCATGATTTGGAAAGGGTTGGGGCATAGATTGCACTTTGCTTGGCTATGCTACATACCGAAGCATGGCGCCGCTGTACGTTCAAGTTACGAGGGGCTTGGCAAGACCCACATGGATGGTGCCGTCTGCCCGTTCCGTCTGCCAGACAATACCTAGCGAAGCTGAAGGCAAACTGTTGGAGCATCACCGGGGAGTATGAAAAAAAAGATACCCCGCAGCGCCATGCACGACTAGCGAACACGAGCTCGTCATCATGCAGCAAGGACTTGGGAAAGAAAGATTTGATTAAGCATTCAGGAAGCCCAAAGTCAAAGAGCGAACAGCATCAGGTATGCTCGGACACGCCAGTTCTTGCATGAGCTCAGCACCGCTTCCTTCATCCTTTTTGCATCCAGGACTCTTGCAAGCAGCCGCCTTCATCCTAAACTCCTAAACCCGAAGTATGTCTTCGAGTTCCGAACCCCCCATGCTTGCGGAAAACGGCCAGGGTTTCTGGCTGAAGCCTAGCAGCGCCCACTTCTACTTGCGACGGTTGCTCTCGTGATTGCTTCAAGTACCACTTGCAATTTCTTGCTGTCGTACAATAACAAAAACGTCGGCTTCTTATTGCTTCTGCCGTCAATATTACTCTTTCGGTTTCTCGTTATATAGAACGGATATCTGCCATCTACCTGCGGCTTCGATGGAGACTGTGCTTGTCAGTGGCCTGCTAAAGCTGGGCCACACTCCAATGCTGATAACCTTGGGCAGTGGCAGAGGGCAGCAGATCGAGGACGTCGTCATTTTTGATTTCAAGGCAGACCTCGAGCTGCTGGTTTTTGTCCTAGGAATCTGTTGTCCGAAGTCCCCAGAAGAGGGGAACGCCTCTGATCTGGGCGAGCGTAATCCTTGAAATTTGAGGGTCGGCGAAACAACACTGTCTACTGGCAATACAGCTGGGCAAGCTCCGCCTGTGCCTGCGGAATGTCAACGAAATTTGCGGTGACTCTGCTGAACGGCGCTGAATGGCGGGATCCCCAATGGCAGGGACGTGGCTAAGTTCCACCCACGAGCCCATGATGCCTAAGCACCGCACAAGCTGGATGCGCCTGTGTTTCTCTGCTGCCTCGAAATCGGACACCACAGGCTTCCATGTTGAAAAGCTGTCCTCTGAGATGGTGGCCCCTAGTCAATGGTACAGCTGCGCACTACCACACTGGGTTCGGAATGTAGAATGATATATAATATGTAACATATGTTGCTGTATGTTGGGATATAATAAACGCACCCTTCTCAGTACAGACCCGGGCCTCGTCGCGCTGCAAGGCCTCGGGCCCCAGAACGGCCTGACGGGAAAAAAGTCGCATGCAGCGGCACTGACAGAGAAGCCGTGGCTGTGAAGGCAGATGCCAAAGCAGCGAGCTGTACATTTCGCGTGGCACCTACGGTGGAAAAGAGCGATAGTGCGAAGGAGCTCGCCTGGAACAGCTCCTGAGCGCAGAGCTGCAACCTCGGCACGCAATATCTCGGAGATGTTGGCTCTTTGCGGGGCCGTGATCACCTCTCGTGAACAACCGCGCATCACTGCTGACTAAAGCACACGACCAAATGTCATTCTGCCGACAATGCGAGTACGCATGCTGAGGTCGGAGGCGCACGTGCGACCCCGCTCCATCTACCCTGACTGTATCGGCTGCAGGTGAATTGACATCGCGCAGCAAGGTACCAGATGTGGCTTTATGTTACTTTCTGAACATTCTGAACATGACAAAAACTCCTGAGGAACATCCAAACGTGCCAGAATCAGTCAGTGTACCCCCCCCCTCCCCCCCGACCACCCCATCGTAAGGGCAAGCGATTCTAGATTCTAGGCGTCCTGCACGCCCAGCTCCTTGGCTGAGCCGAGGATCGTGTGGGTCTTGCCGCTGCCGGTTTGGCCGTAAGCGAAGACCTTCCCGCTCCATTGGTGGTTTTGGAAGCGGAGGGATAGGAAAACCAGAGTTTTGTTGAGCATCGACACGTCTATGATCCTCTGGCCGGACAGAAGGTGCTTACCAGCCCATGCTCTGCATCTGATGTGCTGCGACACCTGATGATGAGAAGAACCTGGAACCCACCGAGAATCAGCTTTCAACTAAAACCCCCCATGAGCACCGAGCAGTCTCTTGAAACCCCCGCGCTATGCCCGCGATGACCTCGGGCCTGCAGTTGCGCAATTGGAGCTACAGGACACGCTGGCCGGTGTGAGCGGGGGGGTATCCTCTTCGTACCACTTTACGGGGAGTTCCGGATCCTCAAGGGGCTTTTGTAGAAGCTTCCGCAGGAAGCTTTGTTCGGGGCCTCTGCGGCCTGGGCCTCTTTGGGTGAAAAAGGCGAGTGCTTTGCATGCATCCGGCCTGCTTCTGCATGGTTTTTCTACTCTCCGCCCACCCACCTCAACATACCTCAACGCAAGATATCGCACCTCCTTATGAAAGTTACAAGCGCACACGCCTTCGAGACTTTGAGTCACACGCCGCTTCCGAAAGGCGCTCGCACTCTTTTCAGACGCCGGCTCAAGCCAGGAAATGGACAATCCAAGTTTGAAGCCCCTCTGTGCAAAATCCTGCGCTTCTGTCCCACTGACTGGCCACGCTCTGCACAAGCCACTCCAATGACCTCAGAGCTTACCAGGCTTGATGTTTTTGCTTTGTGCTTAGACTTGACAGCCGCTTGGCAAGAGCAAAGGCTTGCGCAGCTTTAGAGTTCTATAGGATTGAAAGAAGTTCTACTGGTCCCTTTCGTCTGCTACATCATGACTACACTCTCCGAGGCGCCCTCTGTCAACCTCTTTTTGCACGCTGTGGGCAGTCCACCTTCGGGGAATGCTTCTTCTGGCGACCCCACTGCAACTGTAGCATACAAAATCCTGTGCTTTCATGATGCCGTGCGTATCACTCCAGCTCTTCTTGTTCTTCAGTTTTGACCTCGGCTTTCTTGCCCTTTCGCTCAGGCATGGTCCAGTGATCGAACTGGAGCGTGTTGCCTTTCAGCTCGCTGCCGTCTAGTGAAGAAATGACAGTGAGAACGTCGCCCTCCTGTTCAAACGCGAGGATCCCCGTGGATCGGTGAATATGTGTGAGCTTCGGCTTGGCGATGACCGCCACGTGGGCCTCCAGCTCTTTCCATGCGGTGCCCTCTGCCAAGCCTCCGATCCAGACTTTCTGTGTCGCGGAGAAAGCCGCCAGCTTCTCCTTCATCTTGTCATCTCCCTTGCCAGCCTTGCCCTTAGCGGAGCCCTTGCCCGTGCCCTTCGCAACCTTGCCCTTTCCTGCCGCGCGCTGCTTGGGTAGGGGCAACTTTTTCACGAGCTTCCCCGCAGGCTGCTTCCACGCTTCCTTAGGAACGTTGGGATCCTTCCAAGCCTTAGCCTTCTCCTTCTCGGCCCTCTCGGTCTTGGGCTTCTGGACCCAGACATCAACCTCCAGGACTCCGCCCTTCAGCTCTGAGCCGTTCAAGGAAGCTACGGCCGTCTCGACGTCCTCGACGCTCCCGTAGGCCACAACTGCTGTGCCACCCTTCATGATATCTGTGCAAGTAGGCTTTGAAACGGTTGCGAAGTGCTTTTCGACGTCTTTCCAGGTCGTGCCCTCTGCAAGACCTCCAACCCAAACCTTTAGCGAAGGGTCAGTCCCCCGTAGCTTCTGCGCAAACTTGGACAAGGGCTTCTTGAGCTGTCCAGGCTGTCCCTGCCAGCTCTGTCCCTTCTGACTCTGCCAGCCTTGCTGCCGCCTGCCCAAGCCCGAGGAAGCCAGCACATCGGCCAGGTTGGCATTCTCGGGGATGAAAACCCATGCCCCACGGCCCGCCCCCTTGCCCCGAGGCGCTGGGAGAGTCTTGGTGATAACTCTTCGCGCAGGAGTGACCTGCTTCACCATCGCGCGGGCTCTTGGCAGCGAGCTACGAGGTCCTACCTAGCCTTGAGGCAACCTGGCTACAGTGACTGTCTCCTGCCACATGACAGCCTCCTCTCCTGCCAGAAGACCCATGATTTCAGGTAACTATACTTATAATTCCTCTTACCGCAATTCAGGTACTTATCACTGGACTTACTAAGTCCCATGAACCTCCAAGCCCCCGGCCGGAGGAGCTTCTCGAGCAAATCCAAGGTGGTGCTCAGCTGAACCGAGCTCGGTGACACTCCATGCTCTGCTCTCTGTGTGAAGCTGTCTGTGCCAGAATTTCTGTGATTGCTGCTACAGCTTCGTGTCGCTGTTGTGGCTGTACTCCACGCTGGTTCGTCCATGCCACCACTATTCAATCCTTGTCTACTGGCACTTGCAATCGGGCGCACTTGTGCCTGCTTAGAAACTTCAAGGGCGATACTTCACACGGGGGTGAGTTACTCCATCGACACATGACGGGCCATCGGAGTGTCATCTCCGAGACAGCACAGCTGCAAGACTGCTAATTTCTTAATTATACCTGCAGCCAGCCCCACAAGTGCTCATAAAATGTATTGCTGCTTTCATAGAGTTGGCTCGGATATCGATCCTTTCTATAGAAACTTGCTGGATCTTGGTGCTGTCGTGTTATGCTCATGCCACTCCTATTTGCCGCACTTGCTTATCGCATTTTTGCGTTCGGGACAACTCTGGTCTTCTAGCCAGGCTCACATTCCAGACCGAGTTATGACCTGAACACTGTTCAGGGGGGCTGGCTTTCGGTGGACTTCACGCGCACTGCCAGCATCGTGGCTCGCCCGTCAAACATCTACTAGAAGACCCGCAGGCAGCAAAGGTCCGAAACACGTCCTTGAGGAACAAACCTCCATGACGTGCTTTCTGCACTGAACACTACGAGGCAGCTCTCGCCACCACCAAAAGGTGACTGCTTGAATGAAGCAAGCAAGGATAAAACAATACCAGCAATGACACTCTCGACTGCGAAGGGATCTCCTGAATTATCGCATGCCCGCAGAGACCGCGATCACGAGGAAAAGGATCATCGGCCGTCCCCTTGTCCTGGAAATCTGGAAACAAGAACCCGATGTTACCGAGAAGCGGCCTTACGTGCCTGTTCCTTGACACAGAAAGCACTGGCTGGATTCAACAACTGATTCATCAGCTACAAGACCTCAGAAAGTTTACTACTTACTGCGTTACGCCCTCACTCTAAGCTTCGTGCCCGTCCTCACGGCCCAATGCCAGGCCGCAAGGCTCACGCGCCCCCGACCACTCGAGCCTTCAATTCGGAAGCAACTGCTATGCACAAAGCATGTGTCGATGTCCATGTACACTTATCAACGTGAATTGGCAAACCTTGCACATGCCTAGAACCTATCGCGTAGATGTGGTTTGACTACATACAAGTAGAAATAGGCATTCATGTGTTCAGCCGGTTTGTACATGCTTTCTGACCATGCGTACTTCTGTTGGCAACCCGCATTCTGTTCCATATACATATATGCAAGATAGGTAGGTGGAAGTAGATACCAAGGAAATAGGAAAGCCCATCTAAAGTCCAACGGGCCAGCCTTAGAAGCTTTAAATGACTGACTGCTCTGCAAAATGCATAGAGAGATCGTTGCAGTTTCGATTGCTCGTTACACCAAGACAGTATTACCGGTATGTCAACCGGACGATGACCCGGATGAGCATCACAACAACGAAAATCAATCTCACGATCCTCAAGAACAGCTGCACATTGAGCCATCAAAATCAAAATCTCAGCTAGACTCCAACCCCTGCCAAGGCACGGGTATCTGGGTCAACACAGACAGGGTCGCACTGTGGGAGCCTTTCTTGTCCTTGCAGACAGGATGTATCTTCTGAGAAGGGACTGTGCTTTTGGTGTGAAATGTTTGGAAAGACAGGCTTGCCTTTGGACTTTGCTTTTACGGCAAATCATGCCGACATTTACTGTGCTGCTAAGCAAAATATGGGAGAGTATGTTTCTTATGTTTTGTTTCTGAAGCAACAACTGACAACCTGTCACCTGTCCATCTACGATCTCATAACTCGGCACTGCAAGACTGTCAGGAAACCGGCCAGTTTCAACAGGTTCCTTGGAGACATGGCTGGAGCCACTGATACACTGGCAGTTTGGATTTTAGGCAAACCGTGGAGCTCCACACCAAATCAGCACCAAACCCCCACAACTCTGGACTGTTTTGACGCTCAAGCCGACCGTCCTTCTTCGCAGCAACTTGTGCAGCGGTCTTGCCTGCCGGATGCAAACCAGCAAGGTTTGGGTGCCTACACGCTTCAACTCCGGTCCCGTTGCAGTTACGGCAAGCTCTCCCGAGATTTAGGCCTTGACTCCCAAACCGCCCAAGGAAGAAGGGCCTCCCGAGTTCTTCTTGGCCACGTCAGCGCCTGCCTTCACAAGCTGATCCACCTGGGTTTTCAGGTCCCAGGGGTGATGACGATGTGTCCGTCCACCGAGTCTACCCGCCCCCTTGACATGCCACTCCGGGGCCACTCACAATTCATAATCACGTCACTGAATACTCTTTGCCAGAAACACGAACTCATAAGGGGCCTCTACTCCACAACTCCACAACCACCCAAGGTGGGCAGAGTGGCTTGTTACTGGGGTCGCTACCATGTGCGCATCGCCCAGCTCGGCTGCCTGCGTCGTGCTGTGACACTGCATGATGCTGCGCCCATATTGAAAAATGTTCAATGTCGTCCATCCCATCTGCAGTAACTAACCAATTACACGTCTCTTGCATGTTCCAGAAGATCGGAGCTGCTTCGCCTGAGCTTGAGAGCATTTCTTGTCCAGTAGACGATTCCAGATGCTCACATCCCGTCTCTGCAAGTTGAACTGCGCACCCCAGCACCCCAGCCTTGTGGAGCGGATAGGTGCTGCTCATGAAAGACTTCTTGACACCTCATCAGCAGAAGACAAAGGAATTAAGCAGATGTCTCACACACACTTCGGCCTCAGGGCTTGAACTGACGACCTGGTCCAGCGACCAATAAACAATGAAGAGTGATTCACTCCGGGCCACAAATCATGGCGATGTAACCCTTGCCGGAAAACTGCCCAGCTAGGCCCTTTCAAAACATGCTTTCTCCTCCTTCAATGTTTCATTTTGATTCCTAAGTGACACTGGAGCCCCATTGCGTAGCTTGAACGAACTGTACGCAATACATAGACCATGAGGCGACTCCTGGAGGTTCCCGAATTCAAAGCTATTTACTATTTACAGCATACAGCCTCCCAAAACCCTGGTTGAATTCTTCAGCCCACTGTATCAGAGTCAGCACGCGTCACCGTCGGTCCTTCCACCTACCCTTGGCCGCCCAGCCGTTGATGGAGCTGAATCCGTGCTGCTTCAGGAAACTCGCGACCTCGCGCTGCCGCTCCTGCTTGGGGTTCCAAGATCAATGGAAAGCCGAGTCTCGCAGCTGCCACAGCGCTCAGCCCGGCCAGGGTTGATGTTTTAGGCGGCAGGCCGATGGCGATTAGGCGTCCAGTATCAAAACAGCTTGGCATGTCCTGCTAAACCCTCTGCCTCCCACAACGATCAGTCCTCGTGTTCTCGTTCAGCCTGCTCCTGTGCCCTCCGGCCTTAAGACTGGCAAGAAAGCTATTGCAGATTGCATTATCCTTCTTGCAGCTGGACTTCTACAGCTGACGTAGGGAAGGTGAGACAGACATAGACTGATCCTGATGCAGAGTTTGCAGCTGGGTTCCGCACGGGCTTGCTCCTTCTCCTGGCACGAAAACCGACATGCCGTCGGCTGGGGCGACTCCAACCCTGCAGTTCGCTCAGGTCGTGTCTGGTCAGCTCCAATGAACCTCTACCCTCCTCCATCCAAGCAATCCTAGTCCGCAAACGGAACACCCACACCAGGCATATGGCAGAATGTAAACGTACAGGCGACGACGATTTACAACACCCTATACCTGTACTACTTGGTGAGGCCGCCCCACAATACCCTCAAGTATGGCCCTGGGCCCAAAAAGCGCGGCCTCTGCTGCTCGCCGCTCGGCTTCGAGCCGCTCCTGCTCTTCCGCCTCGCGCCTTTGATACAAGCCCCGTGAGCTGCATTCCAGATCAGTCCATTTGCGACAATGGCGTTCTACGTCGTTCAGTGCCGTCTGGTACTCTTTAGTACTTTGAAATCCAACATCTATCAAAGCTTATCGCAGTCTCTAGCATTCGTGCAACTGGACTCCGATTGTGTTCATTTCTGCCGGCGCAGGCCCAAGTAGCGTGCTCCAAGCCTTCGAGCACCGAGCGATCAGGGCAAACAATCATCATCATCATCATCATCATCATGATTATCGGCAGTAACTTTAGTCCAAAGTTGTTAGTACCTGTGTTTAACATCGATTATTCTCCTTGTTGCTGGGATTCTGGAGTATCCTCAAGCCCTAAAGCCCTAAAGCCACCAGTGCTTTCACATGCTGTCCAGAAGGCTGCTCCCGGAGTTTCTGCTCCAGCTGAGCTCGGCGAGCAGCCTCGGGTTTGCGCTCTCGCAGCGCGGACACAGCCAGATCCGATTCAGGGTTTCGTTCGGGTGTACGGTTTACACTCTCACAACTCGGGTGTAGGGTTTCGGGTTTTGGGTTCAAGCTCAAATGGGAAACTGCACCAGAAAGCAACGCTGTTCACGGAGTTCATGGAACTTGGCATAACAACATCTGCCTGCTCGACCTGGCAAACAGGATGAAACTCGGCAGAGTTTCATCACTAGAGTTTCTGAAGCCGACCCGAAGCTCATATCACCGAGCTACGATGTGAGCACGATTACCTTGATTGCAAGCATGCAACATCCCGGCTTCACTTCTGGGCTGAAGTCTAGCCAACCCAAACCCCCAAAACCCCAAAACCAAAAAAAAAAAAAAAAAAACCAACA